AACTTGATGTTAACAACTTAAACCAAATTAAAGGACCAAATTCCATTTTTCATTTAGGGGGAATCGATACCCCCAGGGGAATCGATACCCCCTGAACATACTGGAATTTTTCGTTCAAGAGGGGGAATCGATTCCCATTCATATGGTATCGGTTCCTTCTACCTAGAAATTGTATTTTAAGCCCGAAAATCATCAATTCTTCATTCAATTCTTCTATTTTAAACCCCTACCATGTCATTAAACTCAACTACCATTACTTAAACCAACTTATATCCATGAAAATCATCTATAACTTCGAAATCCTATCCTTCATATGTAATTCAAGAATCATACTCAAATTTCAATATGTTCTAAATACAATTCTAACACTTCATATTCCTTAATTAACATGATGACAAGTCAAATTTAACTTCAAATTCAACTTATCAACTCTTTTCTATAATTTCATATAAAATCATGTTTCCTTTAATCTTTTATAACTTCTTCATCTTTTGATCATAAGACAACTTAAGCTTTCCTTAAGCTTAGTTATCATCTAATGATCAAAACCTAACCTTTAATTTAACAAATAACTAACAAATCAGAAAACTCACCTTATGTTGTGACTCTCTCATATGAAGGAAGAAGAATAAGAATTCTCTGGATATTACTTCTTTCTTCTTATCATTTTACCCACGTATATATCCCCAACATATCACATTTTAATTCATTTAATGGTTAAATGACCATTTTTCCCTTTAATTCCTTTAATAATTACTAATAATCCTTCTAGATAAATCATTGAATTACCCAATTATTCTACTTTAATCACCAAATTCTAAAGTTTTACAATTTAGTCACTAACCCGTATTTTGGGATGTTACAATATGTGAGTTTACATGAATAAATGAAGAATGATATAAGTCATATGAAATTATCCACATGAATACTTGCACTTATGATACATGTGATATGATATGAGATATATGATTACACATACATGTGGTACGTGACAGAAGAGAAAGAACAAGTGATATGAAATGTATAAATGATGATGCCCATGTTATATAATACGAGAGCTATAGGTATAGTTGGCATGCCAAGAGTCGAGGGTCTACGCAGTCCTTTGGGACATATACAGTGGTCCTTCGGGATAAATACATAGGTCATTCGGGATAAATTTCATATGCCACTCAGTGGGACTTATACGAGATGTAGTGACAACATTAGTGCACAACCTCAATGTACTCGCATACCTTCAGTTCTCACAGTGTACATGGGCTAATAAAAGAGATTAAATATAATATATATGATGCATATGCTTTTGATGGTATGAAATGTTACAAGAATTATATGACGATATATGTTTCTATTTGATATGAATTGTATGAAATAATATATGTGTTATGAGTCATTGTATCTGTTATAAGAATGAGATATAATATATATGATAATATCATAAGAGGTTATATGAACAAGAGATAAGAAATATGAATGATAATAGAGTATGAATATGATAGAGATCATGATAATATTGGCATATGCACATGTATATATTCTGTTATGTGAAATGTTTTATGATTTTTATTATATATTTATATGCCTCACTAAGTCATCGACTTAGCGTGTGATTGTTTTACACGTAGGTTTGGAAAACGGAAAGAGAAATAAAGAGGAACAAGACATGTCAGTTCTCCTTACCAAAGATCAGATCAGAAATGTAGATATAATTGCATGTATTTTGTTATAAATAATTTAGTTGGCATGTAATAATATAAAAAATTTGTATTAGATACGCTCTGATCGAGTTTTGGAATGTTTTAAAGATGTATTTGTAAATGGAAATTTTATACGAATGAAAGCTTAGAATTTTATGAGTTTTATACATGTTTTGTCGAGGTACTGTAGCAGTAATGTAGTAGGGGAATCGGTACCCTGTAGCAGGGTATCAGTACCTTATTTGTAATCTGGAAAATTTAACATTTTTGGGTACTGTAGCAGGTTACTGTTCACGGTATTGTAGCAGGTTATTGTTCATACCGTATTTTACTGTTCATAAAACGTATATTTTCTTAAATTGGTTATAACAAACATAATTCAACAATATATTATCGTATTTTCTTAAAAAGAGTTCAAATATCTTGATATTAATAAGAAAAAGGTTTTGAAAAGTCAATGTGACATCTCAGACTCGTATTCGGGTCGGATATGGGTTGGGGTGTTACAGAGCTCGAGTATTACTGAGCTCGACTCGACTCGAAATCTCTGAAATGGAGCTTGACTCGAAAACTCGCGAGCTTAAAATTTTTAAGCTCGGCTCGAACTCGAAATCCTGAACTAAAGCTCGTGAGCAGCTTGAAAAGGCTCGAAATGAAAAAAAAATCTTAAACTTAACTAGTTGAAGCCTCAAACTCAAATTTGAACCTGAATCTTAAATACACGAGTCTTACTGTATTTTTTTAAAAAAAATCAACACATAAATGTTAATATTATTAATATTTTAAAAAAAATCTTAATATATTATATTTTCGAGCTTCTCACGAGCTTTTTGAGTCGAGTATCAAGTAGTTCATTTCGGCTCGTTAAGAATTCGAGTCGAGCTTGAGTCCATTCGATCCGAGTATTTATCGAGCCTTGACTGAGTTGTTCGCGATCTGTCTCGTCTCATTTACATCCCTAATAAGAGGGGTCAGAGCTAACAAAGATATCTCATAATTACGTTTTAGGAGGGGAAAACATATAATTTTCACACCTATCTAAAAGCTTTAAATAAATGTTTAATATTAGATAAGGACTCAAAGTGCAAATTTCCCATTAGTCAAGAGGGCTAAGGCCCCATTTGGAGTCGTGTGGTTAAAAGGGTATCATGTACATGAGTTTTGTGGATTTTGTTTAAAAAGATTTATGAGAATTTTGGTTTGTTTTTTAAACTCGATTTTAAATATAATAGAAGTTTTTATAATTATGAGATCGAAAATTAAAAGAAGATCGTATTATATATTTTTATGTCAAATAACAATTAAATGGATATTTATGAAATATATATATTGTATGTGATAGGATCGTCTTATCAATGAGTTTTCATAATATTTAGCAGAGAATCTATTATATATTATCAACCATGAAATTAAAGAGTGTTCAAGTAAAAATTGTGCCAAATACATTTTTCTCCAAAGGACTTTAGGTTATTTTGATTTGGATGTTCTAAGGTCCGGAAATACTAAAATAGTAAGACTTACAAGTCCAACATTACTAAGGTTTTTTCAGTTTGGTCCTTCTAGGAAACGAGTATGAACTCTGGGTTGAATAGATTGACCCAATCCATAAAGCTCATATGCAGCCCTACAAGTTAGGACAGCTAAAAGATTGGATATATGATCATATATATTTGGATTTAGAGTGGATTTGGATTTATTTTATTTTATAAGATCAATTTAAAAAAAACGAGTTTTGTGAATAATGAGGTCGGATCAAGTTTGAGTCTATGATAAAAATCTCTAATCTGATATGAAATAATAGTATAATCATTATATATATTTAGATATAATTGTTATAATATAACTTTTTCTCTCTCTCCATACATATTTTAATTGGCAAAACTTTCGAGATAATGTTCTCGAATTTTTTATTTAATGATATAACGTACTCCCAAGATTAATTGCTCAAATAGGGTGAAATCCACAGTGTTGGCCGTAGGTCGCCATGCCTTCCGGGCGACCTTCCATCCGACCGAGGCCATCCGACCGAGGCCATCCGAGAGCATCCGAGGCCATCCAAGAGCATCCGAGGCCATCCGACCGAGGCCATCCGAACGAGCTATGCGAGGGCATCCGAGGGCAACCGAGCGAGCTATGCGAGGGAATCCGGGCTACCGAGCGAGGGTAGGTCGCCATGCACTCCGGGCGACCTACCCTCGCTCGGTAGCTCGGATTCCCTAGCATAGCTCGCTCGGTTGCCCTCGGATGCCCTCGCATAGCTCGTTCGGATGGCCTCGGATGCTCTCGGATGCTTTCGGATGGCCTCGGTCGAATAAACAAGAAACATGTATGACTAAATTATAATTAAACATAAATACTAAACAGTGGCTAAAATAACATGTTTACAAATTTCATGGCCAATTTCGAAAATTAAGGAAAATATATAAAACACATGAAATCAGTGATTAAAATGAAATAACTAAAAACATTATGATCAAAATGAAGCATACACAAACTTGACAGAATAAACAACTAGTGACTAAAATATAATTATTAAAATATACATGCCTGAAACAAAACATTAAAAATGTCACTAAATGATTAAACAAATAGATTACAAAGCATAGGGGACCGAAAATGCTATTATCCCCTAAATATTAAAACACACGTATGAGAGTGTAAAGTTGTGAGGACCAAATTTGCTTTTAACCCAAACAATTATTGTTTGATTGTTTCTCCCATGGATCACCTGGTGACCTTCATTGGTCGCCCAGAACACCCGGCGACATTCATTCGAACTGTAGCAAACACCCTATCCCAACAATTAATTGTTGGAACGCGTTATCTCGTGAATTTTTTTTTCTCACAACATTATCTCGTAAATTCAGCCTATTTTAATTAGGTCTTTTTTTTTCAAATGAAATGAAAAAGACGTGTGTCGATTCGAGTGTAAATTTTTACTCCAAAATTTGAATTGAACTTTTAATCGAATTAAATCTTTTTAAATTTATATTAGGTGAATGGGGTGATAGTAAATCACTTAAATCGAGTTTAAGTATGTCAAAAATCCGATCCGATCCGGTCCATGTGCATCCTATAGCCAGCCAATGCCGTGCATTGCCATTGATTTTTTTTTTTTGGATTCTCATGCACGAGCCACACAAAAATGCAAAGTGAACCATCAACTGGAGATTTAATCCGAATAAGCACAAGCATCCACTAAGGCCTTGGTATCAGATTCTGCTTGACACATGGCAACCCACAAGCTGCTTCCATATCTACTCCCCTTATCCTTTAAGATAAGCCCCTTCATACATTAACATATCTCACCCCTAAACGAGAAATTTGACCCTCCAACCAAGAATGGCCTCCGTTTATGCTTCCTCGGCTATTGCTGCTGCTGCTGCCATCTCACCCCCCTGCAGGCAAGTTAAAATCAAACCCTAACTTCAACTGTCATTACAACGATGATGGTTTACAAGTTTTTTCATGTTATTTGTTGTTGTGGATTCTGTTGATCCTTTTTTGTGTTTTGATTGTTGTTGTGAACATGTTTCAGTTCCCAGAAGACTGGATCAGTAGTGGGAACAACGAAGGCGTCTTTTCTTACTGGAAAGAAGGTTAGATCAGTGAGAAAGTACGCAAAACGCGCCGCCGCGTCAACGGTTCCGGTGTGCGCTGCCGTTGAGCCCGACAGACCCCTTTGGTTCCCCGGCAGCGTTCCTCCTCCGTGGCTGGATGGGAGGTTCGGTCACTTAAGACCACCGCTTTATGCCCTACATGCACTTTCAGTGCCCTATATGTACTCATTCTTGTAGCGACAATTCTTTTAACGTTTCATTTGTACCCTTCTGTTGCAGTCTTCCGGGTGACTTCGGCTTCGATCCTCTAGGCCTCGGTATGATCTTAATCGACTCACGTACACTCAGTAAACGTAATTATTTGAATTCATGTCGTAATTATATTTTTTTCTCTAACAGGATCGGACCCCGAGACATTGAGATGGAACGTACAGGCGGAGCTTGTGCATTGCAGGTGGGCAATGTTGGGAGCTGCAGGCATTTTCATCCCAGAGTTCTTGACGAAGATCGGGATCCTAAACACTCCTTCATGGTACTCGGCAGGCACCGAGGAATACTTCACCGACACCACGACTCTCTTCATCGTCGAGCTTATTTTCATCGGCTGGGCCGAAGGGAGAAGATGGGCCGACATCCTCAAACCAGGGTGCGTAAACACCGACCCCATCTTCCCCAACAACAAACTCACCGGGACCGACGTCGGGTACCCCGGTGGCTTGTGGTTCGATCCTCTTGGGTGGGGAAGTGGTTCGCCCGAGAAGATCAAGGAGTTGAGGACCAAAGAGATCAAGAACGGTAGGTTGGCTATGTTGGCCGTGATGGGCGCTTGGTTCCAACATATCTACACCGGCACGGGCCCCATCGACAACTTATTTGCTCACCTCGCCGATCCCGGTCATGCCACCATTTTTGCTGTAAGTTCAGGCCGGTGATGCTCCACTTGGATCTATTTGATTGTTTAGTTGGATTTAGATTAAGCGTTGTTTTCTCGTTGCAGGCTTTCACCCCTAAGTGAGAAAGCGAGGAGGAAGGAAGAACCCTAAACGCCATTAAAGTGTTGGAGAAAATTGAATGGTCACACACCCTTCGTCTAGCTTGCAATGAGAAGGAAAGATGTGTACGGGGATGTTTGTATCAGTAGATAATTGTAATGCCTATGTTCAGTGATGTACAAATACCTTTTATGAAATTAGACTGCAATGAATATTTTTCTTCAGGTTAATCCTTCTATATAACTTATAGTTTAATTAATTTAAACTCATCAAATCACCTCGGTGATATAATTATGAACAAATATTATCTTATAATCAATTCAGAATAATGAAATAATCAATTAATCATTTAAATTTTTATAATCGATAAAAAATATTTTATAATAGAGAAGATAATTTACTTGTTTTACCTATTATTTTAATATATTATTTAAGATTATAAGAACTAAACTACCTCAATGTTTAAAGGAATTATTGTTATCTCTAAAGGTATTATGTTTGCGATATTCTCAAATGAATTGAGAGTCTTTCGAACATATATTATATTGTAACCACTCTTAGATTAATAAAAAAATATATCATTAAAAACTACACGATTCAAGTGGACTTCGTGATAAATGAATTATTGTTATTCTTGAGGACCCGAATTCAAATATCATAGATGCCAGAGGTGGAGCTTTAATATTGAAAGGTTAAGAGTTATATTTTGAACAATTTTAATTTAGTAACTTAATACATTTATTCAACGGGTCTGGTTTTGTTTCTGGGCCGAGTCCTCATTGGACCCATTTCCTTTAATTAAGACCCAATAATAATTGTTGTTTTTTATTAATTAAAAATAAAATAATAAATAGAAAATCCATTTCCATTTTCAGTTTGAGTTTCAGTTGGGTCGTCTTCTACGCGAACTCAATCTCTTTTCATTCTTTCTTTGAAGTTTTGGCTGGAAGCTTAGACTTACAGGGAGATATATATGGATATATATCTAAAATAAGACTTCTTCTTTTAAAAATTCCATTAGTTTTCATACTTTACTGGTTTCTAAATCCGAAAATTCAGGGCTAATCAAAACCCTAGAAAAAGATACAATGAGCAGCAACGAATTTCGATTCTTCTTGTCTTGTGACATCAATCTTCCTGTCACTTTTCGCGTCGACAGATTGGAAGGGACTTTGCCTTCCACGAGTTCTCCCAATTCAGGTTTGACTCCAAATTCAGTTAATATGGCGAATTTGAATCTTTTTTAAAAGAAGGAAAAAAATTGTCAATTTCTAAGTCATTTTTCTACCCGATTTGTACTGGAAATTTTGAAGATAATTTCACTATTATAGTTCGTAGAACAAATTTGGAAGTTCTATGTTGCAGCGTAGTGAAATTTTTATTTTTCTAGAGGATTGGTATAATTGTTTATTGCCTTACAGGAATTGATTCCATTACAGAGGAGAGGCAAGCAGAGCTCTATGTGGAGTGTGCATTGTACATTGATGGTGCTCCGTTTGGTCTTCCAACAAAAACAAGGTTTTTCATTTTTCTTTTTATGGAAAACCAAAAATTCCCTTTATTCAACTATGTGTTTGAAGAGACAGGGAATTGATATCCCGTTTTGATACCAGGTTGGAGTCTGCCGGACCCTTGTATTGCTGGAATGAACTGATAACATTGAGTACAAAATATCGAGACTTAACTGCACACTCACAACTTGCTTTGACGGTTAGTAGGAAAAAAGTTATTGCTTGCTTTCCCATTGCATTGATCGGATGCTTTCAAGTTGAATTCTGTTTTTGTGGGCTGGTAAAATGAGTCACCAGTGTGAACAAATGGAGCCAGGGAATATTATTTTTATACTCTTAACACATTCTATCCCAACTTCCTCCTTTGATTCTTTCTCGGCATGCGGGGAAAAACCTTGTGTCTCTTTTTGTTCAGGTGTTTTTTATGTTCTGAGAATTATAGATTTAGATTTTCTCAAAGCTTTTAAATTATTGGTCACCAACATATCATAGTCTAAACACAACCTGCAAAAAGTTAGCTTTTAGAGATGAGGTATTTAATCTTGGGATTGAGTTGAAATGCCCCTGAGGTGTTACATGGATATGTGCTATGCTAGGTGTTAGATTTCCTTTGGTATTTTTAGTACAGATTACCTAACTCAACTGTTTTATCAGTGCTCAAGATTTGAACTTATAGATTTAGATTATTACTTGCATGGAGATTTTAGCTTTTTTTTATGAGAATTTCTGAAACTGATGTTATTATGCTTTTTATAATAACCTTTGTTTCCCTCCATCTTCTTTAAAAATAATATTTCGGCATTCCCTGGTTTGGCCTTTTACTTATTGCCAAACTCTTGGAATCTTGAGGTTTGGGACGTTTCATGCGGAAAAGATGATGGATTAATTGGCGGAGCTACGATTCTTCTGTTCAATAACAAAATGCAACTCAAAACAGGGAAGCAGAAGCTTAGGCTGTGGTTAGGAAAGCAAGCAGATGGATCGTATCCAACAAGTACTCCTGGAAAGGTTCTGGTTGCTGATGCATAATGTTTCTGATTAAGTATTTGGTTATATAGTTACACTTTTTAATGTATATGATAATATATCTCAATATAGGTTCCCAGGCATGAGCGTGGAGAGTTGGAGCATCTAGAAAAGCTTGCAAATAAGTATGAAAGAGGACAGATTCAACCTGTTGATTGGCTAGATCGACTCACATTCAAGGCTATGGAAAAAATCAAAGAAAGGGAAAGCCTGAAAAATGGAAGCTCTCATTTATATTTAGTTGTTGACTTCTGTAGTTTCGAACATCGAGTTGTTTTTCAGGTATGATCCTGATCTATGATCATCGTATAACTTATTTTCTACTGACCTTTGTAGTGAATCTGAAATACCTTAGGCATTTAAGAATTTGAAATTTATCTTCTTATATCCTTTCAAATGTATAGGCATGTTGAATCTTAACTAATTTGTGCGTAGTCTGTCCATTTATTTGTTTGTGCATTTTATTTATATAGCAGGCTCTCAATTTCATCTATTCAACCATAATATAAAGGAAACTGTATTAACCTTTCTGTAATTTTATATCTTCCTATAAGAATAGTCCTAACTTTATTTTGTTTTGCAGGAATCAGGGGCCAATTTCTTGTTACCATCTCCAATAGCTTCATCAAATGAACTGGTCATTGTGTGGGACCCTGAAGTAGGAAAGATAAACCCTTCTGAGCACAAGCAATTGAAGCTTGCAAGGAGTTTAACTCGTGGAATCATTGACAGGGACCTCAAGCCAAGCTCTAATGAAAGAAAGTAAGTTTAAAAACATCTTGAAGCTTCTCCTATCATCCAAAATTTTCAGTTAGGCTGGTTGTTTCTTTCTAGCATGCATACTATCATTGAGATAGAATGTTACATCAATTTGTCTGATTCTGCATTGAAATTTATAGTTTTGTGGCAAGTGTTTGCTGAAGTTTGGTGGGCATGTGGGGTCAACAGCTCTATTACAATTGTCATTGCTGGTTTTGTCATTCTTACGATATGTGTTCTTCTAAGATTTTATTCAACTGAATTGCGTTTTTGTCTTTAATTGTAAGGATAATACAAAGAATTTTGAAATATCCACCTACAAGAGCTTTGAGTGGAGATGAGAGGCAGCTCCTTTGGAAATTTCGCTTCTCATTGATGTCTGAGAAGAGGGCCCTCACAAAATTTCTTCGATGTGTTGAATGGAGTGATGTTCAGGTTTGCATTTACCTTTTGTTCTTGCTTTCTTGTGTATTCCAGTTTCTGGTCTAATGCATGGAAAACTGCTCCTTGATTATTTTTGTATCTCTCGTCTTAAACTTTCAGTTTCTTCTAATTCATCTTTGCAGCATCTTCTAATTCGATTATGTTATCTCATCCAAATATGTGGCGCCATAGAGTCTACCTTGAATATTTTCATATTATATGAATTCTGTTTTTGATCCGTTTTATCGCCTTTTATTTAATACTGGAGTATCTATGGAGTGTCTTAGAGTCTCCATTCTTTATGTCCATATTTTAAGAAATCTTTTTTTTATTAGATAAACCATATAATATTTTCAAATTATAGAAAGATGTTAGGGAAGGACTTCAGAAGAAGGAAACTTGTTCTGTGTGATATGATAATTCCTAAAAGGATCTTTTTTCTGTAATTGGTAGGCATTAATGCACATTAAGCTCAGATTTGCAGGTCTGAGTGATAACCTTTTGTGGCTTTGACGCCTTTATCTACCTACTGTTTGTTCGTTTAATATAGATGCTGAACCAAAAATAGATAGACACTATTCTATTTAAACAAAAATGATTATACTTTGAGTTAGGTTCATTTGTCTGCAGGAAGCAAAGCAGGCAATAGAACTTATGGGCAAGTGGGAGATGATTGACGTCTGTGATGCGTTGGAGCTTCTATCTCCACTTTTTGAAAGTGAAGAGGTATGTGGTAAGATTAGAATGTTTTTGTGGGGATATCTTTTGGAACTTCTGTTAGAATATGTTACTGTGTAAGATGCCCTTAGATCTTAGGTTGGTTTTTTACTACTTTATTAACATTATAATGCTCCAGAGTTGGTTTTTTGCCAACTTAATTTCCTTTTAAATATTTCAAGTGATTTTGACCTTTCTCCACATTCTACTTCCTTTCCCCTATACGCTTTTCTCTTTACACATTATAAAGCTGCTGCTCTCTTACTAGAATGTCTTTTTTGTGTAGCATCCTAATGTCACAAAACTTAGTGCATGCCCATACAGTGTCTAGTTTATGTCAGTTACATTTGATGTTGGGGCACAATGAAATTTGCACCATCTGCTGCTTGTACCAAAATCTGTTATTTCATTCTTGGCTGATCCGGAAAGAGTCTAGCTGAAGTATCCTTTAGCATTTGTCTAAAGTGTAGGTTGAATTAGAAAATATATAATATCTCACTCCATTATTCTTACGGCATTTTGTCTACAGTGTAGATCGAATTGGATAATCTATAACATCTTTGTTCTGAAATATTGATTGTCCAAGTATTGAGCATTCTTAACAGGTTCGTGCATATGCTGTTAGTGTTCTTGAAAGAGCAGATGATGAGGAGCTTCAATGTTATTTGCTTCAACTAGTTCAGGCACTTCGATTTGAACGCACTGATAAATCTCGGCTTTCTCAATTCCTTGTGCAACGCTGTATGTTGGATTATGCTTTTGCGAATGTACTGTTTGTGTATGAACACAAAA